CAGTACTGCTAAGTTGTATCTCCTCATTTCCATTGCTATTTGACTGGTCTTCCCGGTTTCCCACATTGTTCGAACGTTCCATGTACCTATAAAAATTTTTGCTCTGGTTGTTAGAAGGGGCATCGGCCTCGTGGCTTCCGAAGGAACTCGGCTTTCACCATGAAGCGTCATAATTCTTCTAACTGAAGACCTTCTAACTCCCAGGGCAGAGTTTAAATGGTTTGAATAATTTTTTCTGGTAAGCGTTTTTTTAGCGAGTTAGTTTTCTACGGGATGGGGACGCTAACCCCATGCTCTTTCACAATACAGTTTCAGTTAATTACGGGAATATTAGTGCATATTAGTAAACGTAGGATTTCCGGTGTTATGTTTCTTGTGATTAATTTCCTGATACGTATCACTAAAGTGAAAAGGACTGATAAAACACTTGTTGGAAACTCGTATAAAACATTATTTTATTACAAGATGTTACTTCTAATCGATACCTCTGAAGTACTTAGTACATCTCTTATCTAGTAAAATTTACCATGTGACTTTGATACATTACAGATAATCATTGATTATTCTGGAACAGATATCTAAATTTTTAAGCTATATACTTTTATGCTTAGATCCATATTCTCGTCAATGCAAACAAAACTACTATTTATCGCTTAGTGTATCTTGCTTATTATATCCAGTATAGAGCACTAAATACAAGACAAGATATGTTTTGAAGGTGAGATTATAATTTACAGACGACCTTAGAACGACGCCAAAGAGACCTTGAGAAGATTCTCCTAACTTTTAGAGTCAAAAATAGATTATAAATTAGTGTAAGTAGGATTAGGATGAACAGATAGGATTTAGGGTTAGGAATCAAAGTAAGAGTTCTCATCACAAACTGACATCAGCTATGATACCAAAATACTATTTAACCATATGAATGAATACATTTCACGCCAAAATTTAAAACTCGCTATCTTAAATCCGATCCGTTTGTCGATATATTATGATTTCGCTGTTTCACATTTAACGTCATGGATGAGACGTCGAAAGTTATGGTTGAATCAAAATATAATTATGGCAATAATCGGTGGTCAGAAGTTACAAATAGTTAACTATTTCTATTTCATAAAATATGAAGCTAGTGTAGCTAAGTCATCCATCTCTTGTGCGCACTCCTTTCCACTTCGACTTACTGAGAATTACTCCATTAACAATATGCCATCTAAATTGATGATTATCTTACTATTAAGACATTATACGAAGAAAATCATAGTAGTTTGTTTTTTCCTGGTAAGTACGCTGTGACAACTATTTTACCTTGGCCTTTTTATTATTCATATTTTTATAAAGAATATGTTTACATTTTTTTATCGTTTGTCTTAATTAGCTTTATATATGTCTACATGCAAATATATGCGTGCATAAAATAAAATCTAATTACTATTCAATTAGTCTTCTATAAATGTATATAATTATTCCGTTTTGTCATATATATACGTTTGTTTTTGTTACGTATATGCAAAACTAATTGTAGAAAATTTATGAAAAGAAAGTAATTTAAAAGTACTATTCTATATGTGAAGCTGAATCACTCACAAATTATAAAGAGTTAATTTATTAATTCAAGGGACTTAAATTTATACGATGTGTACTACGTGTTGATCATAATATTATGTTATTTTTATATTAAACGTCTTTTGAAATTATTTCATTAAGTTAAAGGGGTTCATTTTACACAGATTGTTCATAATTGAGAACGGTTATTAGAAACTATTCTATTTTCATGGAATTTATTAGTTATACAGTAATTATTTAGTTTAGAATGGAATCTAAATTGTACACCTGGTAGATAAATCTCTAAATTATAATACTAAATTCGAATTCTATGTTTCTGACACATGAAAAACACAAATATTCATGGTTCACACATGTGTATGTATTGACCCACAACAGTTAAGTTGTTGAATCAGTAGTTATGGGGATAATCTACCTTAGTAGGCCACGTGAATATTAAATCGAACTATATTGTTCACTCACATTGCCTTTCATTGTATTCAATATGATTAGTAATCAGTGATCTCTATATACCTGGCCTATAACTGTATAGTAGTATGATGTGTTTTCCCCCGGATAAATACTCTGTTAACAACTTAGATACATCGGAACCTTATACCTAATACTTGAGCAGCAGCGTTTTAAAGTGATAATTCCATGGTGTAATCGGTTGGTATATTGAGAAAAATAGAGGAAACATGTTAGGCATGCATTGCTGAAGTTTGATTATTCAAACCATAAGAATACTTTGATTCAATGTTGTCAGCACGCATTTTGCTTCCTTGTCAACCTACTTAATCTTTGATAACACGAAGATATCCATCATAATTTTACTAATTCTCTTGGTTGAATAGTCACAGAGTGCTTTGCTAAACTGAACTTAATTTCCAGTGTTGAAGACTTTCGTAATTTAATCCAAACTTTTTGTTGTGAATAACTGAACATATTCTCGGAGTATTGACTATTCTTTAATTAAATACTTACCAATCTAATTATTTTACGTATTGTCACTCGATAGTTTATCTATCACTACAAAATAAAGTTTTCTAAATCACGTAACATTTTAAACAGAGTTGGATGATGGCTCTAGCAGTGGAACTAAAGAAACACGTTTATCCCTATTTAGGATTCATCAACCGGAAGTGCTTGTATCCCAAGGTTGACATCCACTATGGAGCTTGAACCCAATAGCTATTTGGATAAAGCGTTAAGCGTATGAAGCGAATGGTGCTCGGTTCGAGTCCAGGAGTGAAAATCAATTCTAGGATCTAGATATATTCGATTAACGAGTCCAAAACAAGAAGATATGTGCGTCCTGTATTGCAATGCTAGTGTTGGGGATGTTAGATCCCCAGAACTCACTTGGAAAAGGACCTGATTTTGTAATTTTAGTTAGACAATTTGAATTTCTTTGTTTTCGCGCCAAAGGCGTTCTTGTCATCTTCATGTCGTATTTCTCACTGGGAAATATCTTAAATGCTATTGGTCCGTTGCGTCTTTTAGTATGCTATTTGGTAACTCTCCCTAAGGACGGTTTTGTACTGTATATATACGTTTTGAATTGTGTTTGTTGTTATCGTTCGTTTCTGGCTGTTTGCCAGTATACTTCCCCATTCCAAGCTTGGACTTCTTCCTCTAGTTAGCGGAGCTAAGACGCATCAATAGCTAGTTTACTGGTCTTTGGTCACCGAGTCTTGTTTCTCGTTCGCAGATTAAGTGAACTCGTGATAGCTTTAACCCTAGCAGCTAGCCAGCATACATCTTTTCTTAAATTGCTTGTGACTTGATAACATCATCGAGAGAACCCTCATAGGATGCTAAATACCAAAAGAGACTGATTAATTACACTCCTCAACATCAACAACGAGGATATTCAAAAACCCACCATAAACAGTGTGACATTTTAATTTAATTCATTTTTCCCTTATATTTTTGGATTATTCAGAAAGTACATAATTATTTCATCGATTTTAGAATTAAAATATGATATTTGTACATATAACCTTTCAAAATTTTTTAGCCTGTTATATATATTTCCTTGTTTGAAGTAAATATGTTTAAGTATTCAGATAAATTATTACTATTGATTCTATTATTTTGTGTCTTTTTTCTTTCTTTTACTTTACACGTTATCATCAACTTTTAATAGGTAATATATTGGTGTATGTGTGCGTATGTTAGTCATTTTCGGTATAGGCTTTATGGTTATGGCATGTATCCGTATTTAGGTTGGAATTGTTGGTTTAAAATTTATTTTTGACTATATGAATATACAAATGTCATAATCGGTTATACATATCTATTTTACTTTTTTTATGCGCTATAATATAAATCATGTTCATAGTTATTTTGACGAAAATGAAAAAAACAAAACAGAAAATATGTCATATATTTGAAGATCAGAAGAATTCAGGAAACATGTTAGTTATTATTTGTCACTAACCCAATTTGACTGGTTAAACGTGTCATGAGGATAACGGAAGTTAATAGTTGCGGTCACTGAGTTACATCCCTTAAAATCCATCATTTATAATGTGTACACAGATGAATGCATTTATCATTTTGTCGAAGTTAATTAATCAACTGTTTTTTAATAATTCTCTGTGTTGGCTTATTTTCACTTTATTTCATTGTGTTCACTTTACTTTTTTTCCTTATATTTCTGCATTGTGTCAGAATTCTCTCCATGTATATTTATATACATACATATATTCCGTCATTTATTAAGTCTTCCAAATATTCAGTCAATAAAACTTAACGTATTTTATGGTTGCATTACAAAAATGATTTTCCAGTACATGTGGACATGTGACTGAAGTTTATAGTTAAGTTATAATTGGTTAGTTTCCTCTAATATAATGAAAGATATAGGTATTTACTTGGAACGATTTATAACAGAAATAATAAAATTAACTAAATTTCAAATACCCCGACTGTTTAGTTACTCTCCATAAGTTTAAAACATATTCTATGTTTAGGTAAAGAACTGTTAGCAAGAGTAAAACAGTAACTAATCGATGATATTGAATAAAAAACGTTCTATGAGTAAATGACACTATACTGAAAGCAGTTACTACGTCAAATCTGCTTCCTGTCTTTGTATACGCTAACAAGTTCATTGAGGTTAAAAATAGACGTTATAATTGAGTAAATAAAGAACGATCAAGTGATCCTACAATTTGATTTTTTTATTTCCAGTTTCATTTGCTTTTTTGATCTATAATGTTGAAACACAAAACATCCTTAGACGGAGGTATAAACCTTTCAGTTTATTCATGATGTTATTCTGTTCGAGTTAAGAAGCCAATTAATTTTACCATAATACTTCAATTCACTTACTTTATTTTACTCAATCCTGCTAGAACTATCGATCGATCTTTTTTATTTGACTAAATTCTGATACATTTGCATTATTATCCAACCTAATATATACTGTTTTTTCGCATATTCTTTTCAAGGTTCCTCTCATTTGTCGGATTATGTCTATGTATTGCGTTAATGTTTATATCTAGTTGGTATTACACTATTGTCGCTTGGGCGTTAGCGTTTGCTATTTACAAATATATTGAATTTAGAGGGTAAGTTCATTTCATTTATTGAAATAAAATTATTTTAATCATTTCCAATATACTATAATCGTTTTAGCAGTATTTTATATTCATTGTGATTCATTGATTAAATTATTTTCAATCAATTCATTTTTTACTAGTTAAGAGTTTTGCCTATAAAGTTTGAACATTCGGTTATTCAATGACTATAGGTGAAAACATTGAATTTATGTAACATCTGTACTCATTGTTTTTGGTGTTTTCTTAGTTATTCTACGTGCTTGTATCTACGGGTAAAGTACATGTTAATGAACTGTATTACTTTTATTAAGGTAAACTAATATAAATAAAATAGTTTTTCATGTTTGCATCAGTATTTATGTAGTTTACTATTATTCTTTAAAAATTTCATTTTGTATGATGAAGTTAAATCCATAGATAAATCTATCTAATATGTAAATTACTCAGTAGAAAAACGTAAAATTTTAATAACCAGTCTACAAACTACTCACCACACAACGTTGAATTTCTTATTCTAATTTTTCACAGCTCTGGATGTAATAATGATCATCATTACTATACTATAGAAACCATGTACATATAACATTATGGTATGCTCACCTTTATATTATGTGTTTTAAATACGTCTTCAATGGGTGACAGTCGCTCCTAGTATTTATTTCAGTTACAATGCTAATATTATTTAATTTTTCAATCTTCCAGTTATGAAAATTTATTTCTATAGTTCGAAGTCTGATACGTAACTAATAACTAGTCATTGCTTACTTCTGAATCCAGCAAGTTTACAACATGTTTCATATTTAAATTAAAATTCTATTTTTAACAATCATCAAAAATACTTGTCTTTGTTACTGTGTTATCAATTATCTGTGAATATCACTTTAACCTGTAGGCTATTACATGTCATAACACTGAAAGATCTTTTTTGGTTGTATTTAAAGCTTTACTTCTATCTATTTTTTTTATGCAAACCTATTATTTAAAGTATTTCGTCATCAGTATGACTTATTTCCACTTGATTAAATACCGCAATGGTTTTTGTTTCTTCTCTTAGTTCTTATACTATATCATGCATACATGCATGAATGTATATTTTTCATTTATTTTCGTCTTTATTCCACTATTGTAAGTTGTAATTTATCTGTCGATCGATCAATCCTTGTGTTTTAAGAGAGAATTTTATTTATTGCATTTTGATTTCTTTGTAATTTCCTATTTATACGCTCTGTACTCTTGTGCCTTTGTGTGTTTGTAGCTTTCTGTATTGGTTCGTATGCCTAGATAAACCCAGATAAGTTGTGTTTATTCAGTTTAGACTTTTTGCCACCAATTCGGAATTGGTTTTCTTCCCTGGAATACCGATCTCAATTAGTAGTCGAGTTTGGTGACATGTAGAAATTGAATTCCGTAACCATTATTCGTTAAATGTCTAGAAAATTTTGTAAAATTTGAATTACAACAAGTCCGAACTATCTTGATATTAAACGTGTTTCTGATGATTATCTTCAAAGTTACTTAATACGTTCAGTGTTGACGAGAACACATTAATTTCTGTTCATGTGAATCCTTTCAAAAGTATGAATTATGTGTTCTGTGGAAAAAATTTAAAGGATATTTTTAATTGTCATAATGAATGTGAAAGTTCAATATTATGTCGTTTACCTTTAGTGGTCATACTTTGACGTCATTTGGGTATCTACAGAGTTAATGTTTGTTGATCAGAACGATTAAAGATACGCTTGCGTTCACTGAAATTATCTGATGATCGTGTGTTTTTTTAATCGAAATTATATCATTGGTAGTAAATATCCCTCAGTAGGAATACTGAATTTATATATGTTGCACAACTGCTTCCCTGGACAGATATTACGTCAAGAACGTTAACGATTTGAAACGTCACAGGGAAAAAGCATACTATTATGCAATATTTATCCACATATCCGTTAAGCGCTACTACAGGTTAAAAATACTTTGACTTTCACGAGAAGAATTGACACAGCTCAGATCGATCTTTGAATATAAAACTGGCCAAAATACAAACCATATTCTTTTTTGTTATATCAATAATCACCTGTAAGTTAATTAGAAATCGATATCTGCTCCTAGTTATTTGTCCTTAGAATAAAAATAAACTAGGTCTAATTATTTTTATTAAGTAGTATAAACAAGATATTCTTAATAGTCTATGTTTTACTTGAGCTCCGGTTATTGGTATATTGTAACAATGAAGATTTTATTTACGGCAATATTACCAGCGGAAAATGACTACTGATGAACACTCCATCGGAACTATAAACAGTCATGTAATTTTTTTGACAATGCAAATTTTCTCCAATACTATAAGATCAATTTTCTTAATAAAATTGAATTTAACCTTTGAAATTTCAATAAACATTTTTTTATCCCCGAAGTACAATAATAGAACTGATTAAATACTGTTGTTGAATGAATTAATCATTTATTCTGAATATTTACATCTCTCCCGTTCTTACTTGGAATTAATTATAGTCTCAGACCTGAAGGTTTTGCCTGATATTATTGTATTCATAACACATCATTATTATTCGGTGATTTTTTAAAAAAAATTAAAACTTACAAACAGTTCACTCTTATACACTTTCAGAATGTATACTTTAACAAAATGCAATGTATTCAGCTGAATCTTAACAAGATCTTCCAAATCCTAATGAAAACTAAAATATGTTCAAGTCATGCGTTGTAGACAGTCAGTATCTCAAAAAGATTTTAAGTTCTTAAATCTGACTAACACATTCTTCTCCAATCTAATTGAACAAACTTGTTTTATTATGTATTCTAAACTTTTCGAAATCTTAAAGTCATTTACGGTTGTTCATTTAGTTCGAAATTTCTGAACACAAACTAGCTTTTCTCACTTATTTAAAAGTCAGTTGACCAAGAGTACTATATGTATGTATGAATCAATCAATCTCATTATTGTTTTGTGTTCAAACACAATTTCAAATTATTTTACTACTAGTAATACTACCATCACCATGGCTAATAGTAATCACTGTAACTTATCTGTTTCATTTCTGCAGACAGTTCATTTTTACATTGATGCGACGAACTTTTGAGTTGCGTCAAGGTCATACAATTATTTTGCTAACTTTGATATAGATTTATCATTTTTAGAATTACTTATAAAAAACAAATATACCTCACTGATTGGCACAGGAATTTATTATCTTTATCTGTTCATCACTGAGTATTATATTCATTACCCATTAAAGTCAATATGAAAAACTGTGTTTTCTCATATAATTCAAAAGATCAGAATAAATGTGATAAATGGTAAACTAAATATTCCAACTGCACTTTCAATAATCTAGTTGTCGCTAATCAGAGTTAGATGGTGGCTGATAGTCGACATAATCAATGAGAACATTAAAGCAACGTTTAAAAATGAATTTTAAATCATTATAATTTTTAAATTCACTCGGTACCGCTTGCTTGTATCTTCCCATTGTTGGTAAGCACTGCAATTGATCAGTCTCTTACTGGCATATGTGCGGACTGCCTCGATATTGCCTTAAGTCACAAGCTTTATAGTTAAGGATGGATGGTGACTGGCAGTGGAATCCAGGACGCGCTTTTCGTTCTATTTAAGACTCGTCGGCTGGACTTAAACTTCACTCCATTGCACAAGCAGTTGGCTACCAAGACTCAGTAGCTAAGTGGATAACGCGATAGCATTTGAAGTGACTGGTACTAGGTTTGAGTCTCAGAGTGAACATCAATTCTGGGATGCAGGTAAATCTCACTGACGAGTCCCAGATGGGATCAAACGCGCGTCTTGAAATCCACTGCTAGCCACCATTCATCTTTGATTATAATTATTACTCACTAATATTACTGTCATTCCATTAGTCGCTGTTGATATCTGCTTGCTTATTTACTGTTTCTTTGTCAATCTACTCTTTCATTTTTCTCGTTTTAAGCATTTATTTCTCAGTCTCAGTATAATCTTATAAATGGTATCAACACTGCCACTATTATTATTACTTGGTTAATATATCTCTTCAAATAATAAACTATAAAGCAGAAAGTAATTACAGATAACGTTTATTTCATCTATTTGCATACGAAATTTATTTTGTTTATTTTAGGGATCGATTTGGTAATTGTTATTTGCAGATTTTACGATAAATGTAATTGTTTGACTTCAATTTTAATTTCTCTAAGTTGAACTTGTTAAGTAGTTTAAATATATTTGTTAATCATTGAGTCAGAGATATACCGTTTGTTAAATTCATAATATCATTGGATATAGCTGTATACCAATGAAAATGTATGTCTCCACTGAACCCTGAATCTAGCATTTGATTAGTATTCAAATAAACAATAAGTTATCTTCTGCAAAAGATCATGAACTGAAAATGATAGACTGAAATATGTAAGATTAATGTGAACACACACAAGATGTGCAAGACTAACCTTTCTGGAAGGAAGACCAGCACCATTAGGATCCACTGAATAATTTTTGTAAAATTAATGAAATTGAATTCGACTACTGAATGAAATCAGTAGTTGAAGATTGATCAGGTACATCAGCAGAAATCTCTTAATATTTGATCATTTCGACTAGTTCATAGATAAATCAATCATTTGATCATAAACTTAACTGAGTTTACTCACAGCTAGACTGGTCTTATGCTTGAAATTATCTCATATTGCTAATCTTATCCCTTTAGAGATTTTTTCTTTGAGGTGAACTATAATTTAATTCTTTTTCATACAAGTCGAACTATTATTTTGTTTTATATTATTATTATTAATCGCTTTATTCAACATTAAATTTTTGGTACAATTTCGAATTCTCAGCACTAAGTGTTTCAGCGAGTTTCCGTTTCTTATTTCTCGATCGATATTGACAATTAATATTGAGTGATCACGAGTTAAATGTTAGCATTTCAGAAGTCGATATCTGAATAATACTCATTGTTTTCAATGTATATTTCCAGCAACCACGATGTCTTTGACTGTACGTATTTGTAACTAGCACAGTGAAATGTCGTAAACATTTCATAGACGCACCTGAATAGGTTATGCAAATAATCGACGTAGTGATATGTTAAAACAAAAAATCCCCAGATAACTTGTTGAAACATCTAGATGGCAGAAACAGGTAACCTAGGTATTCAAGCAAGCCATCGTGTCAAAAAAGTGTTGATGAATACTTTACAACAAGTATCTACTTATTTGTTTTCAGATAATTTGTTAGGTATATAATTATTTTGTTTTGGTTTTTACAAAAACATATCAGCAATTTATATTTCTAGTCATTTTAAGTATTAAAGATTATTCATTTGGTAATAGATAATCCGTTGACTTTGTAGCTATTTCTGAACTTCATTTTGTGAATTGGTTTTGCAGAATTTTCATTACTTGTCAAGTCAAAATTATGTGCAATTTTATTATGTGGTATTTATTTGAACTTTAATGATTCTGATGGATTAATTATATTATCGTTCATCTTTAGTACAGATTTTTTTATTGATTTCTCTAAAGTATGTATTTTTCTACTGATCATTATGTGAAATTATGTTATATATATTATCGTCTGGTGTATGAATAAGTTCGACCAGAAGAAAAATGCAAAGTGCTATTTCGAAAGATAAAATGAACGTATACATATATTAATCCAGCCCTTAATAATAATGAGATTAGCCAAATTTTATCAATCAGTTATTTCAATACATTCATATGATACTTGAACTGATAACCTCATTTTGTTAGGAAACTTTCGAAAATCCATAATTGTATTGAAGGATAGTTTCAGTTAACTACTTTTGACTAATCCATACATATGGAGATTTTCTTCTTATATCTAGATTTTGATGATAGATTTTTAATCATCCAACTGAATATGTACATTAAATTGGTAGCTAGAATTATTGATAATCTATCAATTAGATAGGAAAAATTAAATCACACATGAATTCTTACGAATTGTCCACACTATTATACCCTACTTCAAATTATTAGAACTTTGCTAATTCCGGTACAGATTTTTTTATTATTGATGGCCTCTAATTCTAGGTTGATACGATAGTCTACATTAAACTATCAACATGGGATATACCACTTAGGAAATCTTATTCTTTTGAGCGTTATCAACCAAAAATCGTCTATTGTAGGTTAGTTTTCCAGTACAAGTAATTTTCTTGATGTGGAGGTGTAAAAACGTAGGCTTGTAATTATAAGATATTTCAATTGAAATTCCATAACTCTTTATTTTCTAGTAAATAGTGAAAAAAATGCACATAACATCTTGTTTTAGGCAATTTGGTACCAGTTGTGAATTTTTCAAGGATAGAAAAACCGAAACCTTAAACCTTTGACAAAGTTACTTAATGTGACTTAATTTCACCAAATATTTCATTTTTACAGTCACATAACTAAATCAACCCACCTACATCCACAAAGGCAATAGCTAGGGTGAATTTACCACTATCATTACACGCTCCATAATGATTTTTCGTTATCATCATTATCACCAGTGATAACTCTTTATTATTTTATACAGCTACTGAAGTTGTTACTTTTAAAGTTTCTAAACCTTCTTATTGCTGGGACGGCTTCCGAAAACTACGATGTATCCTTCAGAGGACCTAAAGGAACCGAAAAGTTTCCATCCAATCAGAATATCGTGGCATGCTACTATTGGACAGTAGCATAACTTGCATTTTTGTGGATTGACTAAATTATAATGATGTTATAACAAATGCTAATACCCATGATTTTCTGTACATTTTGATTCTTACCCAAGAAACACTTCTCCAACTTCCTTTTGTCTTCTAGTTTGACGACTGTGGGGTTCTATACGTTCGAGTGCAGTAGTTGTATACCGTATTCTACATTATTCAAGTACCGAACATAACTTATATTTTGAATGCAATAAAATATTCAAATCTATAAAATAATGTTTTTGTATTTTCATACTCCTAACTTTACGATGAAACGGTTTTTTGATAACACCCTGCACTGGGAATGTTTGTTATATTTTCTTATTTAGGAAAGTACACATCATCTTAATTTGTGTACTCCATTTGTATCATCCTAACATAAAAGCAATTTTTACACTAAGGTATGTAAAAAAATATTGATTTTAAACGCATATTACGAAATATACGCCACCGCAATTTCATATTATCAGGCTCATAAGTTAGTGGGTGACAAAATGAGTTCTCAAAAACATGGCTAAAGTCAAGCTACAGTAATTATTACATGCCTTAATTTCAATAAATCGTCTATTTACAGTTCAGCAACCGAATGAAAGTTTGTACAGAACGCTCTAACTCACTTCTAAGTTAATAAACAACTATTTAAAATAAAATGAATAGTTTTAATAACTTCATGTTTTCAAAGTTTAAATCACGAATCCGTTCCAGTTACATCACCATTTAAAACCTGAAGGCTTTGAACGGTCGTTTTATATCATTCTGGTGCTCATAGATAGATAGATTTAACCCAGAATTATAGTTCACGCACAAAGTCTCTTAAGCTATGCATCACTGAGTTGTGTGACGTCGTGAATGAGCACTGCTACGAAGTCTTATAATGAAACGAAACAGCCGTTCAGAGTTTTAAGGTCTGCAGTGGTTGTTTAACTAAGACCGACTTGTGGTTTAAACTATGAAAATTCTTCCTATACTCAAAATATGTACTTCACTAAGTTATCATTTTGCAGATTACCATTATTTATCATACTGTCTCAAGATGAAGCATCAATCTCATGCTTAACCTAATTGTTCATATTATTTAATAAGAGTAGGATAAAATAAAAATTCATAATATTCAATGAACTTTTTTAACCAGATAAAATAACCTTTTAATCAAGCCATATACTTCTAGGCATAAGTACGAACCAGTCAGAACCGAGAACATGACTTTTAGATGTTCATGGAATTCAAATATCACTTATGATGGGTAGTAGAAAAACCTTTGTATTACTGCTCCAAATATTAAAAATGATAGCGAAACATCACTTTTTGCCATCATAGAGTAGAAATGATAGTGTTAAATGTATCAAATGCTCAATTATGTTACTTTACATTGTACATAACCGGCAGACTGATAATATCTCTAAACTCATGCTAAACCCTTAGTCTCAAAATGAACTCCAACTTGTTAGCCTCATATTTTATGGTTACACTAACCACATAACACTACTTTTCTGAGAAGTTAATTTATCAATATAGCTATAGAGTACTTTTACATTGCAGCTGATATCTATTCGCTAAAAAACTCCAACTCCATACCCTAGCTATATAAAATGTGGGGCCTTTTAAAAGTGTTTTTGAGTCCTTATAACGTTTGGAGATGATAGATAGTTTGTGTCCATAAGGATATCTTTATATTTTGTTATGTTTTTAGATTTACAGGCAGGAAGACTTGTAGAAGACGTTAATAGATTTACAAATTCTGTTAAACCTGTTTACACTTTATAAGATAAACGTTTTCTCAGTCGGAAACTATCCATTTACAAAACCTGCTTTCCGATTGACCAAAAATTAGTCTTTTTTAATTTTCATATTTATTTTAAGCTCATCTCTATATCATACTTTCACTTTGTTCTATTATTCATATTGTACAGTAAATTATCATTATTACCCTTTGAATAAATATTTCTGGGAAAAGAAAACAGTAACCTCTATTCATTATACAAAAAAGACATTAAATTTTTACATATTATTATCATCATCTAAATTAATTATTGTTTTGCTTACATAAAATGACAAATACACACTTTCTGACTTTTTACATTTATTCTACTCATGAATCATTATAATAATAACAATAGTTATACTCTCATTCAGCTCCATTTTCATTATCATTATTTTTACTAAATTTATCTCTTTTTTAAATAGGAAATAAGGATAAATTTATAACTTTGTTACTATTGTTCTTCTTTTTATTATTTTAGTGCTTCTAAAGAATGGGGTGATGCTACAAGAGGTTTACAAATGTCCACAGCAAAACAAGCTATTTTAAAACTTGGTAATAAACCAATTCATACAAAAAATTGGCGACCACAAATTTTAGTTTATTTACCATTGGATGAAAATTTTCAAGCACGTCATGATCGTCTATTGGATTTAGTTTATCAATTAAAAGCTGGACATGGTAAGAGTTTAGTAATGTTGATTAAAATTGTTTGATTGTTGGAAATCTTTTTTTATTTGAAAAGAAAAGTAAATTCCATTAGTTTTACTCAATAATAGTAATAATAATAAATTACTAATTTCACGTCTCACACTATATTTTTGCTATAAAGAATAGATTGCCTTTCTGTAATACCCATTGATTATATTCTGTGTTATTATTCATTATTATACATTAAGTGTATACTCATGAACTCCGTTTACTGATTGTTTAAAGTCTGCACTGAAATGCATGTCTCCTAAATAGCTAGATGATGTAGATGTACTTGTTTCCTTTTCTTTTTTCATCTAAATCTTAATTTATTCATTGGACATTTTACTATTTTTATTGAATACATGAATACTATTTTCAGATTGTAATTCTTTCATTAGAATTACGACACAGTAATACCGAATTCTATTTTTTTAAAACAATCTATTGTTTGCAACCAGTTAAAATTTAAACCAATTTATTTTATTCCTTATTTAAGCGAATAAAAAATGAAAATGAACATTGTTTTATTAATACTACTAAAGCTGGATTTATGTAATCTAGATTGATATTTAAAACTTTCTGGAAAATCATTTGAATAAAAGTTCCGTTATATACTTTTCATTTGATAGATCATCTTACTGATCCTAGTTAAATCATATATATATGTGTTAATTACCGATACTAATGAAACTTCTATATTGGACCATTTTTATACATTCTATTCACTATACATTTGTTTGTCAACTTCAGTTTTATCTAAGACATGTGAAAAAAAGTGTTTGTATTCAGAGAAAAAGCCTACAAAATTGAAAAGAAAATTAACATTAAATTTAGTTTGTTTTCTCCTTTATGGAATTACTAATCCACTGAAAAACTTTAAATAACACTAATGAACATTGAAATTATCTTTACTAATTCTACATTTGCCACTTCATCATAATCTTTTTCTTGTTATTTGTAGATTATAAATTTATCATGTTCGTTTAGGAGGAAAACAATTTAATGATATGGATGATACTTTTGAAATACTTTTGTGAAACTATAAATGTGTGAATAGTTACTTTTGATCAATTAATACTCTCATTAGTATAAACATATATTCGGCATGAAATCGCAAAATTAATGGGTCTATAAAAAGTTTTTTATTCATTATTTGTAAGATCTATTTATTGTCCATGGACTATTATTCATGTAGAAATGCTATAATAATTTTGAAGTTTCATTTACAATACATAACTTCATTTACGATTGATTGCTGACCGATTAGTGGTCAATATTATGTTTAAGCAATCCCTTAGTTGTGATCGAGCTCTAGCGAGAAACATTACATTAGTCACTACTCAGTGATCAATCATTTGTAAATATGCAAGTCACACCTGAGGCCAGTTACAACCTGAACAACTCAGTGGTAATATCTCTGACTGTTAAACTGGGTGACACTGGTATGAACCCCATGGAACGTCAGTTTCCTCAAGATTACAAGAATGTTTTGTTGACAAGTGAGAAACTGCATGAAACTTCAGTACAGAGTCTTTTGTCAATTACCTTTAACCACCCAACATAAATCCAATTTACTAATTTTATTTCATTAAAGTGATTTTCATAACAAATAGTATTGCGATAGAAATAGATCAGTGAGATTCTATTTAAAGAAAGTTTTCTATTACAAAGCAGATTAAACTGACGAGTTAATAAATTAAAGATTCTTATAAACATAAAGGCTCACTCATGTCATGAAAAAGTGCAAAATTACTTTATACTTAGAAGTGCTCTTATTGGTATGGTAGCTATTTACATATGCATATTAATACAATCCTCATGAACTTCGCACACAAATTATACTTTAACTGATGTTATAGTTCTTGTTGGCTTTGAATTTATCCAAGTAGCTAAGTGTATGTTTCTATACTCAACGTGTAGTCCTCCCATTTTTTTATATAGCGTAATGATGATGTTTGGTATTGTAAAAATAATTGAAATCGACTTCACTTCTGCAATCCATTGATTTAAATAATAACAATTGAATCATCGAAGGTGCACTTTTGTTGTTTCTATTCACCTGACTATCGTTAGTATTCTATAAGCTTCATCAAAAACAAATAGTTTTGTCAGGTTACTTGTCTCGACCATCTACTTTCAGTGTACAGTAATATCTTATAGGTTTCCTAACATTTACTGAAATGCTGATTTCGCAAATTCGTACAATATTTACACCAAATTACTTTATTCATATGATACTAAATAAATAGAATAAAAACCAAGAGAAATATATCCGTAGGAAATAAAAGAAACATAATGAATACTTACATAATCCACTGAATTGTTAAAGGAAATCAACCACATATCTTGAATTTATATTTCATTCTTGTTAATACTCATTAATTAAATGTATCTGAATCATTTAAAAACCCTTATCTTTTGGATTATTCAAACATATATCACTCAGTGCAAAACGGTTGAAAATTTTACAATAGAACTATTCAGACTGTAACTATGCTTTATTAGTATTGAATTAAGCGAACTAATCTCTGTATCATGTTCTTTATTTACTAGTGCTAATTCAAGTTAGTTAACGTGGTAAGCATATTATAAATTTACTCTTTATGTATAATTTAATCAACATTAAAGACTAGGAAATATGACAACAAGTACCACTTAGTAAGTAGTTAATGTATGTAGTTATCTGAGATTTAAATTTTATACCATATTGAAATGTTAAATAAATTTATTTTGTTAAATTTCATCATGTTTTAAGTACACTACATTGAACAGGAAGCTTATAAATTTTGTATAACACGCAATAATATTTACTACTAGTTTAATGAATCTATCATTTACATTTGTCTTATTAATTCAAGATTTAATTGACAAACTATCTTAGTTATTTTTTTATAAAGTAAAATACTCAGTTATCACTATTTTAAGTTATTAAATTATGAAGCAATAATACTAAATCTATGGAATAGTTATCTCTTGATGGTCGTTAGTTTAATGCATATTCTGAAGATTGAGTATTATTATTTTACAAGAATGAAATCTGTGGAATGATGTTCATCTATTACATTTCGACAATTTTCCCACATAATCTAATATTAATTAAATGAAATTAATAATAATTTTTATCCACCCACTAAAATTGTTATACAGATCAAATTTGACATAACTTTCTTGATTGTAAAAACTTTTATAAATATACTACTTGTTGTTGATCAATACCATGCGAGTTCATTCTTTTTCACCAAAATCATAAAATTGTAAAATTAATCTTCTGGTCTCTTCCTTCTCAAGTTAGACATTGGCATTGTTGAATGCCGGCTCATTGGTCTAGAGGTTAAGCGTTTGCGCACGAGGCCAAAGGCTCTACGTTAGAATCCTGTGTGTGGGACCGTGGATGCACACCACTGAGGAGTCCCATACTGGATAGAAACGGCCGTCCACTGCTTCCATATTTTCAATGGTAGTCTAAAATTGATCGATTCATGATCTCAATCAGCTAGAAAGAACAATAGTGTCACAACTCAAATTTCTATCTCTTAGTTTTTCTCTTCTTGTTTTGTACGTATATACGTGTATTAGTTTTTCTGTTTAGATTGTCTATCTTTTGTGGTTCTACGCGTCTACCCCTATGTTTATCTTGTGTAAACATGTTTGTTCATTGAAAATTCATATTATTATTTCCTTAATTGTATCACGTAAGTATCCTATTCTACATTCATTAAGAATCAAACAAAATACTTCATCCTACAAAGATGAAAACTTAATAAAGTATGATATAAATGATTAGATTTACATATTTTTAATAAAAGATAACTATAATAAGAATAATAATAATAGAATTAATAAATCAGCAAAACGTGTATGTTCCTTATAAATCTGTGGAAATTGTAGTCATGTTAATGATGGTCATTATGCTTATTTTCTAAGCTTAGAAGTAAAGATTCTATTTTTGTTGCTGTTGTTGTGACTTTTACAGGTTTAACATTGGTGGCATCGATTTTAGAAGGTGATATTATTGATAGACGTAATGATATGATTGCTGTTAAAGCTCATTTAAGTGATCTTATTCAACAGCATCGTATTAAAGGTTTAGCTGAAGTACTTGTCGCTTCTACTATTGATGAAGGCATGAAAAATATGTAAGTTTTACTTCATATAAATTATTGTGCTAGTTATTGTTGCATTTTTCAAAGTTATGTTGTGTATATAATAATGGTGATCTAATTAAAATTATTTAGTTTTTAATAAATTTAACTGTCAACTGTCTTTTTTATGCACTTTAAACTTTCAAGGATTATTGATTATCAGATCACAAATAGATTCACTTACTTGAATGTAACTTCAATTAACTTTTCATTGACGAAAGATTACTTTTCATTATTGTTAACAGATGTGTGTATTAATATCCAATTTTATAAATGTACTGCTTTTAAATTTCATGCTTTACTCAGTATCATTACTTTTAAGTAACAATTCTTTAGTATAATACGAAGATGATTATCAGATCTGTATGATATATTATGTGATATATTTGCTAATATGTCATGTAATTCTCATAATCGTCTTTTTATTACACTGTCCATATCTATCAAAAGGGCTAATTCCTTTATATAGTTATTTGATTGACAGTAGTTCATAGTGAGAGCTATTTCAAAATTACCTATTGTAATAATTGTAAATATGCATATTTATTAAGTGTTATTCATTGCTTATAACTAAGTATTTGGTTGCTTAAAGCCAATTAGTGGTGTTTAGATTAAAAATCAATTACAAAATCCCACTTATTTACTATATGACTAAACCGTAATATTTGTTCATGAAGTCATTGACTGTTATTCTAAATCGATTATATAGTCACACACTAGCTGGTTGAAACCAGCTCGACCAACGTGATAAGTATTTGAAGATTTTAGATGACATGGCTCAGAATCATTAGTAATGACGTAGATGCACTTACTGTTTGTCTAACCCTAGATCCTCAACCCCGAATTCTATTTATACTTTTTATTCCGCAAATATATTTTTGTAGGATTATATATATATATATATATATATATATATATATATATATATACATGCCTAACCACTAATACCGCTACCAATTCAATCAGTCGAATGTTCATTTTCATAATTCAAAGCTATTGTGATGAATCACCATACTAGCTTAGACCGATTTACATCTGTCAGGTTCTTTGGTTGCTGGTAACTAACTGACCATGCTTTTTGTCCCGATGAAACTTAGAAGTACATGTTTGAAGACTATTCATTATTTTCAGTATTATTTGTACAACTTGTGTAGATTTTTACAGGTATATTATTGAGATAAATATTTCTACATGATTTAATCATACTAATATTGACTAAATTGCCATTTTTATCTTATAATTAGAAATTTTAGGTACGTATAAACTGATAATATTCTGTAAATAAAGATTAACTTATAAACCAATGTTGGTTATCTAGTTCATTGGATTATCACAAAAATCTTTGCAAGTGACCAAAGCCATTTTTCTCTAATCACTTTAATCTTTTTCCTTCCTTTTTTTTTAAAAAAAAACAATTTTACTAATAAAGGAATGGTTATTGTTTGTTGATAGTTTATTAAATAAGGAAACTCAACTTTTACAGAGTGAATTCAGAAGATTTAACCATTAATTTTAAGTGAAATACTTAAACTTTAATACTTTTAGAGAAAAAATAACTTTAAAAATATGTAAAAACCAAAGAGAAATCTTCTTTGCACAATTTTCTTTTAAATTTAATGAATAGTTTTGGTTTCAGTTAATTTTTTTCCTGTTTTAAATAACAATTATAATTTACTTAGAATTTACCTCACAGATACTGAATTCATGATTAAATAAGTTTTTAAATGTAACTAGGGATTAATATATTTAAAACTAAATAATTTGTATATATAAATTTAATTAATTAATTTTGTAAATAGAATTGATTACATTGTATATTTCAATCAGTAATAACACTACATAAAAGTGAATCTTTATAACTAATTATCAGATAGTTGAATCAACTTTAAATTTTATAAAATAATATATGAAATGAACTTTTAAGAGAAAGAGAGAGTGAAGAAAAAAGAAAGACTGCTTAATCTGATTCAGTTGACTTTTTTGTTGACTAAATTCCAAATGAACAGAATTTCTGATAATCTAACACAAAACTTGTTTTGTTTTTGTTTGTTTGTTTTTTTTGCTTTCAAATATCAGTTATAGACAAAATGATTCTTATTATCCTTTGTATTATTTAAGTGTTTTACACTTATTAGAATTTTCTAAACCACTTATAGTTAAATCATTCAACTATTCTATTCATTATAATAATTATTATTCATAATTATTATATTCTGTAATTACTTTTTATGCTAAACCAATAATGATTTGTTCCTAATGAAATAAATAACATCTATTTCATTTGTTTATTCATTTATTTATTTATTTATTCAATTTGATCATTATAATATATCGAGAATAATACCTTAACAATGAAAATGATATCATAATAAGGATAGAAATAAAGTGAAAGAATAAAGGGAACAAACATAGTTTAACACTTAATAACTATATAAGTGAACTTTTGTATATGATGAATAAATTAACAGAGTGATGCTGAGATAATAAAAAAAACTTATTATTATTATTATTATAAAGACAAAAAAGGTTTATAATTTTTGTTACATATGTACAATGATTATAATATTTGTATCCATGAAGTGACATAAATATTTATGTATATAATAATAATTATACAACAAATGATTAAAGCCAAAGACATATTTAGATGAATTAAATAAATAATAAAAACAAAACAGATATTTAGTAATCAAGAATATTTGATATATAAAATGAATATGAAATAAGATTATCGAAAATATGATGATTATGACATAATAAAAGAACGTGAATTAATAGAAAGCCTAGATATTATACCCTTGTTCATATAAACAATAATATAATAGTGGGAAATAACCTATTATAATGAAATGAATAAAAGTTTGAACAGCTCATGCATTAGTTAGTATTTTATAATATTCATTCAATAACACAATACATAATGGACGAGAGTTAGATTTATAAATAACACTAATTATTATTACGCTTTCTTTTCACTAACTTATTCATTTGTCTCATTTTTTCAAATTATTTTTTTATTCCCTAAAATATTTCAAGTTAACAGTATCATACTACTAATACTTTTGTATTCTTTTTTTCTGAAACTTGAACAACTGTTTTAAACACAACAATAAAGTATCTTTATGGGAACCAGTTGTAACTACAATGTGATATCTCATTTATGTAATTGAAAAAATCACGAAAATTTGTCGTAAGACAAATGTCAATAAGCGACATGTGTGTCTGAAAATAAATGAATTAAGTAACTTTCTAACACAGATGCATATCTTATCAGCTCAACTTTAATAAAATGATTACTTATAATAATGATGGAGTCAACTAAATCTGCCTAATTAATACTGTCGATTAACATGAATAGTTTTAACTGCTATCCATTTCGGGAGTAAATAAAACATGGTTCCGATGGTATATAACAATGAATATCAATCATTGCCACTCTTTGAACTTCTTAAATTTTGCTTATCCTGGACTATTTAGTTATTAACTGTGAATTGCATCCATCCAACCTAATAAAAGCAAGACATTTCTAATATCAAACATTTCCAGGCTTTTACTTAATTTTATAACGGGTAAATGACGGTTGGGAATTGCTTTTCAATTAAACGTACTGGTTTTAGGTAACCAAGTAATGAATACTGGGTAACGCCCATTGATAAACTCAAATATTAAAATACTAAATAAATAAAAAATATCTTATCATTTTATTAACTAGGCCTATGTATTATATACGTGTTGTGTTAGAAATATGTCTATTTAAAGTCATTCTATATGTAAACAGTTGCTAATCATTAGCCTTGCAAGTGCCGTATACCATAAATTTCAGTCTCACAGTCATTTCGTGTGATAGTTTTCTAAATTTATCATCCCACTAGTAATACTGCAAAGTAATTACTAGTAGAAATCAAAGTGTGTAAATCAATAATAGTGATGATATACACTATTTGTTTAATTTGTTTACTCAATGTTGTTGTGTATCAAACTAGTTACAAATTACAAGAAATCATTATTTTCCTCCAAATTAGTGTAAGCAACTGTTCAATATACAATGCAATCGACGAATTATTTCATCATTCTACGCTAATCACTAATTTTTATAGAATAGATGAATTGTGACCAGGAGTTGAATCTAATATATTCGTTTCGTCAGTTGTATATACTTACATTTTGGTGTTGATATTCTTATTGACCCTCTAACCTAACACAATTCGTTTTAAATGTCAACATATTATCCATTGTGATACTAGTTCCAGTTAGCCAACAACCTGTTAATTTATAAACCATTGACTGTTTAAACATAAATTACATAAATTTTAGGAAAAACAAAATGTTAATTCTTCTCTTCTTTTTTTAATTTACTCATTTTTCTTTGTAACATTCGCTTCAAATTTTATTGTTATTCTTTACATTTTTATCAAGTAAAAATCAAGTTCTAATCAGATATCCACATATCTCTATAGAATGAATAGGTTTTATTATTATTATTATTATTATTTTTAAATCATAAGCAACAAGAAGAAAAATAGTTGTTCAATCTCTTTTTATCTGACCTATTTTTCCCCATACACTTTACAATCAATCTATTTGTAATTAAAATCAGATAACTATATTTCTTGATTAAAATTATCACCAGAATCATGATATCAGAAAATGCGTAGAACGCAAGTTGATTGACATGAAAAATAAGTTGTTTTCTGAAATGTTATTATTTGAATAAGAAATATGTCCACAAAATGAAAATAAAATCAAATTGATTATCAATTCTTTGTATATTTAAGTTGCATGCAATTTTAGAGTTCGTATCATGTTTAGACAATTCATTTAGATCAAATTTATGAAAATGTTACATTATGGATTGTTTTGAAAATATATAACATCATGGTAAACTTTCATTATCGGGTTTAATTCCATGTCACTATGTACTATTGAATAGTCCTTAAACAAATTGAAACACCTGATCGAAATTTCCTGTGTTTTTTTAAAAAAAATAATTATTTATCTAGTGTCAATATGTGTCTAGGGCATATTTTCAGATAGATTATGTAATTGTCTTCACAAAATATATAAGTAAATGATAGTATTATGTTAAACCTTCTTGAACTTTGATTTATATATTCATTTTATACAACTGATTTTAAAAATTTTGAAGTTAATTCTAATTGATTCTTTATATTGTCAGTTATCTCTTTATGTCTTATATAAAAACTAATAAGTGAAAATGTTTAACTACTTGACACAATTTATTGCTTTCACTGTTAATATCAAGGATTTAATTCAATAGATTTAAAATACTTTTGAACTTGAAAGTATTGCACTTCTAATGGACTACTTATGAAAATGTCTATTATACTGAATAATACAATATCAATTACACGGAAAGTTAGTAATATATTTTAGCCTGGAGGTGCTTCCATCAAGTGCGTTTATCTAATTCATTTCAATCAGATCAATTCTAATTTCTATACATTATTTCAACATTCAAGCCAACGGTTACTGAGTTCGACCAACTTAATGAACTACTTAATTATTGATTCCATTGAAAACTTCAGTCAAATTTAAGGGGACATACTCTATGAATAATCTCGAATCATTAACTAGATTCCGGTCTTTAGGGATACCCTTACAAATTTTTAGTTAAAGAAATCTGTTGATGCTCTTCTAATACCCTATATTTTTTAAGAATACATGTGAATTGTTTTCATTGTAATATCTTGTATTGATATCGCTTTTCCTTTCATTAACGATCCCAGTCTTTTTAACAAATAAAATAAACGTTGGTGGATCTAATGAAGAGTTAATAGTTGTTGATTTATTGAGATACGCGGAAAAAATTATCTACTTCATATTCCAGTAATTAAGAATGAAACTGAACTTCATGTCAGATTTTTGAGACAAGCTTATATTGACAAAATTGGTTTGTGATTAACTGCGGAACTCAAAACTCACGTTTTGATCTTTGTAGGATATTTTTGTTTCCTAGTGTTGCGATTCACACATAGATACACTGAGATCTTACCACACTCATTTAACAAGTCCTACTTGATAATCCACTTTTAGCCATAATCTAATTTCGCTGAGACTTCCAGATAAAGGTCCTATCGAGGCTGTCCGCTCAGGATTCACACACTCCAAAATAAAATTAACTAAATACAGTTCCTGATATCAACAATAAAAAACTCAAATCGTTACATAAAAGTTACATTAAATTATTTAAAATGAAACACTGACAATTACAGCTAAAATTCTGCTTAATTTAATCTGCATTTGAAATATCTATCTGAGTAACTTCAAAACAACCAGTAAGAATTTTTCTTATCTGACTGATAAATTATTAATAGTTTGATAGTTGAATTCATGAGTCAATTGAGGAGTCCCATACTAGGACGAAATGGCCGTCCAGTGTTTCCAGGTTTTCCATGGCGGTTTAGCGTCAATTAACTCATAAGTTGAACCATTAAATTACTAATAGATAATAAAAACCGTGCAAACGATCATGTATATGTAATATGTTTGTCTACCAATGTCATTTATTTTAATTTTCATCAGATTTTGTTGCTGCTCCTCACTGTCAGTAAATCATTTTTATCTGTTTGCTTTAACTATAACCTATCAAAATTTATACTCTTTCTGAATTATTTTTTAAAATCTAATCATTCAAAGGGCACAATGTGCTGGTCTTGGGAATTTACGTCACAATACACTTATGGTGTCCTATCCTGAAGATTGGCGAGTCGATTGTAAAAGTAGCGGAAGTAAATTGTCGAAATTTATATGTAAGTTTTGCAGTTTGATTATGTATCTATTCCATATTTATTAATACCTAGTTCTATGTTATAAGTCAGAGAATAAAATGCTCATAAACCTCATAAGCGCAACAACATTTATGAATAATAGTGTCTTATTCGATAGAAATGAAAAACTTGTTATTGAGGTGACATTGTAAACCATGGAATATTGAATTAATGGTTGTATCATGCTCACCGGATGATCTGAGTGACATCGCTTGCATGATCTTGGATGTACACTCTTGAGAGTTCTCAAATCAGCGCAATGTAGCTATCAAATAACCCCTAATTTTCGATTCTTCTTCAGCTTCTGTCCATCTATGATGGAAATTTCCTATTTAAATTCATCAATTCTTTACAAGCCACCCAATCGAACAATTACTGATTATGTGTGCATTATTTTTTAACTGTTCTTTCTGAATGTCGAGATAAACTAAAAAAACAACATTTTTATTCTTTTTTGATACATATCCATTGTAAATGATTGTCTAGTCTATTTTGTCAAATTGACAATGTAGTGTAACGTTTTATATCTGATGTCTACATTTTACTTATACTAATAATTATGAATATGATGACGAGTCATTGCTCTATGCTATTATCATTGTACATTTATACTATTTATATATGACCTAGCTCAAAATTTAGTTATATATTTAATACATTATATCAAGATTGTTGAGAATTATATCTGAAAAATAAGATGAGTTTATCTAACTCGAGTACAAGTAACCATACTAAACAAGAAAGATCAGTTTTAGTTTGAAGTACATTACTATGATAGAAGCTGCACTACATCAGAATCACATCAGAAATTCAGCCCCAAATGTTTAAGCTATTGAAATGTTGAAGAACTTACAGAAGGTCTATTTTGAGATAGACTTGTCATTTCCTTTAATTGTGTTTATCTCTATTGTCTACTTCAATATTATTCTTATTTCATCATCTTTTCTAAATTTTGCAGCGACTTTGAGAGCTGCACAAGCATGTGATATAGCAATGCTAGTGCCTAAGGGAATAGATTTGTTTCCTTTGAGCAAAGGAAACCAAATGATTGGAAATGTTGATGTTTGGTGCATTGTACATGATGGTGGTCTGCTACTGTTAACGTCATATTTGTTAATGCGCAATCGTGTATGGCGTAAATGCCATTTACGCATTTTTGTGGTGGCTACTGAAGATGACGATATTGTGAATCTGAAGAAGGATATGACCAAGTTCATGTACGATTTGAGAATTAATGCTTCTGTGGAAGTAGTAGCAATGGTAAGTTAACTTATATGTGATATTTTGTAATAATATTTATAAATGAATTATGCTGATTTTTTGCAGCTTGGAATGTAGTTCTGGAATTCCAATTCATTCAATACGTATAAGAAATTTAAATCACCTTGAGCACTTGTTTTTTATCACTTGATATGTATTTTTAAAACGTTAGAAAGTTCCTCAAAAACAAAGTAAACTATACACTAGTGATTAATTTTTTAATTTAAATCTCCAGTTGATACTGTTGTAAACACCCTATGTTTCTAGCACCAAAACAGAAAGTATCTTTAAAAATTCCGCGCTTAATTACTCCACATCTTAATGGTATTATTAACTTGGTTAGATAACTATCTATCGAACTTCTTTGTGACATGTTAACAAACCAAATATCACAAAACTAATTTCACATCCGAACATATGAACCTTTGTAGGAATATTTTACACTACTAACAAATTATTAAGTAACATGAAAACGTTAACACAATTTTTGTGGGACCATCTATGGCTTTTTATCAATTAATGATTAAAGATATTTTAGAGAGTACCAAATCAAGTTAACAAATTAGTTTAAAAAGTATGATGGCTTCTGTCAAACAGTTTTCAGGGTAGTAAATAGTAAAGGAACTCGAAATTCGCTAGCCGCTACTAAATGAACACCATTTTGTTTTGAAAGAAAATTACATAGGATAGGAATATGGGAGATGAAATCATATACTTTGTCAATTTCCTTTAACATTTGTAATAAATGTATGTGAATGTCTTTGCACAAACCAAATAAAAGGTACCTCAGACTTTTACTAATTATGAATAAATATATTTGCGTAGAGTTTCCATGATAAAGACTTTTTTATCTGAGTTATATTTATTGATACATAGTATACTCTTTCAGTTTCAGCTTTTTTTTCTCATAATACATCATAGTTTTCAGTTTTGTTTATACAAAAAATTTATTTGTTCTAATTTCTTAGAGTACTGCTGATATATCAGCTTATGTTACTCAAAGAACAGCTAGTATTGAACAACGTCGTGCACTTCTCATGCAAATGAAAATATCCAATGTTGAAGCACGTTGTGATCCTCAACTTATTGTTGACCAACATCGTAAACCTAGTTCAGTTGATATTAATCCAGCAGATATCATCAAATCGAATTGTTCCATTGATTCTCATAAACTTTTACCGGCTATATCAGCTACATCAACTGAAAGTTCAGATCAGTCACCTGATCATGCAACAGTAAGTAATCTTGTTCTATTATTACTATTATTTATTTATCATGTCCTTGAACACACCTCTATAGTTTAATCTTCTGATAATCTAAATGTATATGAGAGTGGGTTATATTTATAATTCAATTCAAATTTTATTTCCAGTGAGCTTCATCAATTACCAGTTTATACAGTAATATTATCATAAAGAATAATTGACTGACAAAAGTTATTTTTTATTTAAAAAAGAAAGTACTTTATATGTAAGATAAACAATGTTGATGCCAAGCCGAAAAACCAGTAAGTAACTTGAAACAGATTATATTATATAACCGGGAATTGATGTAGACAATTTAAACTTCAGTTTTCATCGTTTCGTACACTTTCATCCGATTTGTGTCCTCTATTTATTCTGATGCACTCAGAAAGCTATTGACTATATGAGTTAATCTAACTAGCATGAGACATTCGAAGGCACTTTTCTACTAAACAACATATCTCATTCATGTAAACTCACATTAGTTGTTAGAGGTAAATACCATAAAAATTATGCATGAGTTACGTTTGTAGTAGTAACAATTAGTTATCCTCTTAACCTAAAATTATACAATAGTACTTTAAACTATCTATTTAAGATTCAAGCGCATAAAGGTGGTGCTCTAAAAATATTGGTCAGTATTATCTGTAGTATGTTTCTAACACTCAACATTGAAACCTATGTTGAGCCCATATACAGCTCACGCCAGCATATGCTTTAGCAAATATCAGTCACTTTTTATACATCTATTAAATGGTTGAGTTTTGATATCATTAATGTAAACATTCAAGTGGATAGAACTATCGATTTAATCACATCCTGCTCTCTATGGGTACAGATCATTCTACAAGTATGCACCTACAAGCTGTTTTTATACTATTTACCATTGTTAACTGTTATAATTTGTGTCCTGTGTTCTATTAATGTATAGTGCAATGATACCGTAAATTAGAGAACAGTGAATTATCGACCGGACCAGTCATGCATAACTCAAGTACGAGCAGTCTAGAGTCCTGATTGGTCCTGCTTCCCGCCTAGCCCAGCCTCTTAAGTCCAGAACACCAATCTCAGCCTCTGCGATATGAATCATTTATTTCAAACATACTGGGTTTATATAAAAACCAAACAGACCACATCATACCAAAAATAGAAAATAACATTTTTACAAGATTTAGCCAAATGTGGCTGTGAATAAGGGAGATAGTAATTGATGAACAGGGCATAACTCAAGAATGGTAAGTCGCATAATAATAGTTCTTAGGTCAAAACAAAGCTTATGATAGGAGGAACACAAATATGAATAGTTTAGTTATTTAGCAATTATACAATAAAAATATACGTGTAGTATTGGTCCATAAAGGGATCCCAAAAGTTACCGTTCATTATTCTCATCGGGATATAACATTAACTTATTCCCAATTTATTAGTTACAATATCTCATACCCAGATCCACTTCTGTCTTAATCTTGTATAATTATTATTTTGCATTTTATGGTGTGATGCTGTCTTTTCTGCTTATATATGAACTGCGTATGTCTGTAATATACGATTCACACAATGGAGGCTGATACTGTGTTCTGAAATGAAGGGTTGGACTAGGCGAGAAGTTGCTATACAGAGGATTAATAAGGATTCAGAGTTGGATTTATGCTGCTTGTGCTGATTGACTCGTCATCGCCTTAGCACACAGATAAGGTCATATTATTCAGTGTTCTTATTGGCGGTTTTCTCGCGTGGTATTTAACGGGTCATAGGAAACAACAAACTCACATTATTCATTCTGAGCTCCCGTACATTCGGGTAACTGCACATTTTGTTAACCATACTGTTTGATGGAAAATTGTATTCTGAACATCGAAAGTTCACCAGAAGACTTATAAATAGGAAATTATTGTTTAGAAACCAGTACTTGAAAGATTGGATTATTTAGAGAAACCAAATCAAATCTAACTAAATAAACAAATGTTTCTTCTCATATTCCACTAATGCTTCAAATAGAATAGAATATTTGTCATACTGATGAAAACTAGGTTAGTATGAATGTCGTGAACAAGAACACGGGTGGGGATAATCAAATGTATTTAACAAGAAATTATAGAGCATCTCAATAAAATCTGAGAACCATATATCAAATCGTTAATTTGTAAAATGTCCACCGATTGTCTCGAAATGCCTCAAACTTCATTGTCCTTGCATTTTCATACAAATTGCATTCTATTCCCACTTTTGATTTCTTGATCTTCCCCCATTTTCTGCTGCCAGACATTACATTCCTGACTCGCGTCATATACTACTTATATCAATATAAGTAGCACGCACCACATTAGTACAATGGAACTGTAGTGATAATAATAACAGTAATAATAGTAATAATAATAATGACAACAATAATAAACAAGATTTTAGTTAGTTCGGCGATAAAAAAGAACTAAAATAATTTGAAAATTCACGAAAACTAGACCAGATTACAATGAACTTATCTTTAGATGTTTGGTATTCGCTCACTTCTACAGTGTTTAAAAGATGAATATGAGTTTCTCTGGACAAATTTTCTAGTATATAGTATATTATTAGGTGATAAATGTTGTTGTTTTTTGTTATCATGATTATTATTACAATTAATTATTTCACAACTAACGTATTTTAGAATGTAACAAACACCAGTAGTAGCGATTCTGCTTCCAAAGAAGATACGAAACCATCAAATATGAAACCAGATACTGAATCGAATAATAAATCTATTTCAAATCATTCACATCATTGTACTGTATCATTTGCAACTGGTTCAAATGTTGCAGTTAGTGAATCTGACAAATCTACTAATCCCAAAGAAAATGATACAAATTCAGAATTGAATCGTGGTATTAATGAATTTACTTTTTCACCTTCAAATCCATTGACTAAGTTAGTTCAAAAAGCTGCAAAAGAAGCAGGTTCTAAAGAAGAGCATTTATTGAATAAAGCGCATCCAGGAAAAATGTAAGTTTTTTTTATATCACTATGTAAATCATGTGGTATTAAACATCTTGATAAAGTTCTTTTTTATTAACTAAAATTTACAATAATAAATAGATTTTTGTTATATCCAAATGAGTAGAAAAATTATATTTTTGACGTTTCATGACTTAATATAAGCCACTCCTTTTTTTCCTATTTATTTACTCTGAATTTATTTATTATTAACTTTCTGCTCAATGTTCAATTTATTTGAAATTATCAAGTCCAACCTTGGCATTGATACCTAAAATTCACAATAATATTCAATTGTTTTATATCATATGATCCATAGTTCATTGAGACGAATTCCGTATAAATTATATGATAGATTGTTATTCCCATTTATTTCAAAGAGATTTCAATTTTTCAAAAAAAAGTACGATTTCGCTAAATCAACGAACATTAAAATCGTTAAAATTACCAATATATGGACTATTGATCGTAATGATTGTTAGTACTGACGAAAAAGGTTCAGTTCTGTTAGTTTTATTTATAAACATATGTAAGAAAAATATCTGTATAACATTTAAAAAATCCCGTTTTCGTAAATATGAAGTTATTACTACACATTACAAAAGATTGTAAGCTTCGGATTATGTAATACACTGAATAGTTAAAAATAGTTACGGAAGAACAACAAGAATTCTAGAGTTGTTCATAATGTAAAATGATTTGTATATTTCCATTTACTGTTAGTCATAAATTACCGACATTTAACTACCATTAATTCAGCAATATATTAACGCAGCATCAGTGTGTATGTACAAACTGACCAGGTTTTTTCACTGTATCATTAGTATTGTGTTTACTGGGTTAAATAGTTTAATTGAAAATTTACATGAGGAAGATGCTGCCGATATTACCCAAAAATGACAATGAACCCTTTACAGTTGAACTGTCTAGTTCAAAGAACACAATATTATCAAAGCATCCATACTCTCTAGAATTTCAGCATTGAAAATACTTTACCAACTAACTGAATTAGTAGAAATGGATATGGACCCAATGTCTATTCACAACTAGTGTTGATTATTAAAAACTGCGAAATACGAATTTAAACGATAATCTTACAACTGAACGTCGCTATCTTTTCCCATATAGGGAAATTATTTTGTTAAAGTCATTATTCACCTTTTCTATTTTGTACAGTTCCGTTTCCCATTTGGAACTGTTGAGTAAATTTTTGAATCCCCTTTTCTTCACAAACGGATTTCTTATAATTTTATCAACTTACACATAAATCAATACATTTTTACAATCATATATTTGTAATACTGTGAAATTTTATACATCAACATTCGTTTTCCTTCGACCTTGTTTGAATAAATAAATTCCGCTAGTTTATTGTAAACTATTTATCCTAACTTTATACTCTTTATGATCTTTCTTTATCCCAGAACTAGAACTCAACGTCGCTTACACTGTGCTGTACGTTTAAATGAATTATTACGCACTCACTCAAGTGAATCAGACTTAGTCATTGTGAATATGCCTGGACCATCACGTACTTTAGGGAGTGAATATTATTATATGGATTATATTGAAACATTGACAGATGGCTTATCACGTATATTATTGGTACGTGGAACAGGACGTGAAGTAATCACTGCATTTTCTGAATAAATAATAATAATACTGAATTTTCTGTGTGTATGTATGCTGATTATCCTCATGTTAATGATATAAAGTACATTTTCATGAAACAAAAAACATAATCTAGTTGTAAAACGTGTCAAGTCTTTGTTTTGCTCACAATTAAATCATTCTGTTTATTCTCACTAATTTTATCTTTAAAATTCATAAACTGCTGTTCCTTTTAAATCTGTCATAGTTTGTTACATTGTTCAATGTTTATTTTGATTAGCTCTATTACTCAATTTAATTTTAGTTACATAAATGATTATTCATTTTTAATTTTCTAATCATTCTTCTCCTGTATTCAATAGATATTGTGATTGTATTCTCGTGAGATGTTTACGTTTTCATGCTGAATCTAATCACACTTTCATACTGCTGAAAATTATTATTGTCCATAATTCAAGTGTAATACTAATAAAGTGGAAACTTAAAGATTAATCCTTGTTACCTTTCATCCTAAATAATAATAATAATAGTAACAACTAATTCAACGTTACTTCTAATTCTCCGTTTGACCTGTTTATCTTTGTGAACCGTTTCATTGTGCTTAGATTCTACAATAGATGAAATTGAAACAACAAACTGTTTCTTTTGTGTTCTATCATTTTCTTCAAATAATCTGTTCGGTTCCCATCTTTCATTTTCTATACCCGCCCTCTTGAAAACATCAACTAATCGTTACGGAATTGGTTTAATAGCTATTTTGCAAGAGAAATCACATGTTGAGAGATTAAAGGTGGCAGCTGTGTTTCCTTAAATTTATTTTTCTTGGTTTATCTTTCATCTTTCCTCGATCGCGCCTTTTCTTCCTCTTTGGATCTATTTAGTCAATTTGTTACAAAAATTATTCAACGTCTTCTGTAGATTCATTGCATTATCTTGTAACAAATAAAAAACAATTAACGTGTATCGTAATTACAACCTATGGTGGGGACAGAACTCTTCACATCTAATACCAATGATTATTGATAATTCTACCTCACATTTCTTCTATTTTAGTCGTGCACAGTTTCAATCAGTTAAACATAAACTACAATCCTCTTAACATCACTTGAATTTTGTCGTCTTTTGTAATAATATTCTTCATAATGAACGTTTGTATTATTTCGTAACACTACAATATGCATAGAATTTAGTACTATATATATATATATATATATATATATATATATATATATATATATATATATATATATATATATATATATATATATATATATATATATATTCGCTTGTTTAGTTCACTAATATAAACTTGTAGGATATTTGAAGAGTTAACAATTTAGTAAATTGCTATCCTTAACTTTATAATTAAGAATATATGTATGTGTGTATACATAATCTCATATCTTATTTTCCTTCTACTACTTCTGTCATTTATTCACACATACGTGACATCAGTGTACTCTTTTGTCAGTAAAGTAAATTCATTTAGTTTTATTACAATATGGTTTTTATCCTTTTTATTGTGTTCATTTTTTCTGCTATTCATAGTTTCAATGTATTACTCAGTTTGTTAACACTATAAATTGTTATTCAAATTTTAAAGTATACGCTCTTCATATGGCGCATACGCTAAATATAAATATTTACCAATTTACAATAAACTTTAAACAGAGTACAATTTTTTTTAGAAAAATTAGCACAAAAATATAATCAAGCATAGTTATTTAAAGTTGAGCGAATTCCTTGTGGTATCTCATAATCGTTAGAAAGTTTTCTACTATATGCAAATCAATGTTCTAAATTATTGAGAAAATTACTTGTTTTATTATGTCTTTTTCTATTTGTCTGTCAATAATTTCCTACATTGATTACTGTCACGCAATGACAGGTATATTTCGACTCAATCGGTAGTGTAATGTTAGTGAACATCAGTTGCTCATGCTTTTGAATATGCAAAATCTCGATTGATAAAATATCATTGAATGAGTACTCATTTTTAACGCAAAATTTTATGAATGCATTCATTCCTATCATACCAACTATAAACATTCATTAAACACTGAATAAGATATGCTGTTAAAGCTGGTGAACAATTCAGCTGAAGTGATTGCTAGGTACACTTACTCGCAGTGTAGATTTGACTTAACACAATTTATTTGCTGTTCTAATCAAAGAACTCTACAGGTGTTTAGTAGATGCTGCTGTCAATCATAACCACCATTCTGATTAAATGTTTGTCTAGTGAAATATTTGCTGTATGCTTGCAGATGAACAAATGTTAGGAATGAGAACCTAATTGTTACATGAGATTTTGTCGGTCAAATCCTTTCGTTTTGAAAAATCTAGATATAACTATGCTTAAATTCAAACAAGCTTCATTCCACAACCGTAAGGATAATCGATTTACATTAGATAAGTAGTAAGAATACTGTTAGACGAAATTTCCAAATACTCTAATCAAAACTAATCTCTATCACATGTCAAACACTAATTTCTCTCCATTACTAGTCTGAAAACTTGCTAAACCTAGAAGATAGAGTGAATGTTAATGTTAACAAGTGTTTTGCTGGGTACGGTTATAAACTAACAAGCATTTATCCACGATTCTCAGTAAATTCCTTATCTTTCGAAACTCGTCATTAAACGGTTTATTTAGATCAAAACTTACGAGTCGTCTAAGACAAGAGTACCATTTTGATATATGGAAAATTACAAGATGAGTACTTTCTCCTCGAAATTAAATTGGGATCTGAACAGCCTCTAGATAGAGTACATTGTACATACGAACCTAGCTCAAACAGCACAATAAATACTTTCAGCATAAAGAGACAATACTGAGTGAAAGACATTCTCATGAAAGCACAGTAGTTTAATAACCTTTTAGTTCAGATGATTAACTAAATAATCCTGGGACCAGTACTGTAAGTCAGTATGCAGACAGGGATAAGGGATACCTGCGATAGAATCAAATCTAACGCACGATGAATTTATGAAGCACCACATATCCGTCCATCACATGGTGATCTACGCATGGGAAAAACCAACTGGATAGCTAAACTGTGAATTGCACGCCATCTGCTTCACACTTAAATACATACAGAGGGTGAAGTAGTCAGAAAATGGCAATTAGGCATTCAGTCAGTCAATAACGTAAAACTTCGTACATACGTACATTAGTTCGAGTTGCCATACCACACTAGCACGGAGATACAATTGCCGATTCAAGTCCCAGTGGTAGAAGTAGTAAGAGTATAAGCAATAATCGGAAAGATTAGGGTTTGGAGATGTTATTTAAAGAGTATAATACAGTGAAATAAATTTGAGAGGAGAAAAAAAGAGACAAGGAGATCAAAATTTGGGAGAACACAAAGAGTGGATGCATCTGCGCCATTGCAAACGATTTTGAGCCATGTCACTCAAGGTCTCTAACCATCGGTTGCTATCATCTCGCGGTCCTCAACCAGGTAGTCTACACCTACCGACATGACTCAGACCACTTGTCAGTGACTTCATGGACTTGTGCCATGTTTTGGTCTGGCCGCCCCTAGCTTTCTTCCAACCTATTCCTATACCACTAAACATCGCACGTCGAGGCAGTCGGTCGTTGGGCATACGTAACACGTGTCCAAGCCATCTCAACTGATGAATTTTCACTACTTCATCAATTGATTTTCCATCCTTACCTAGTACCCGTTTCCTAACAACTGCATTACTTACTCGATGGTCCCACGATATACGAGCAATATTTCGAAGACACCTATGATCAAATACTAGTAACCTACGAATATCCTCTACTCTTACCGACCATGTTTCACTGCCATAAAGTAGGACAGAATGAACTCCATGGCAGGCTCATCACTGAATATTCTAACACTATACCATCTGGGTAAAGAACAGTTAAACTTAACTAAAAGTTTTGTACTTGCCCACCCATCGAATACGAGACATCAGGTGGACTTCCCAATTATCCAACAGATTCCACTAATTTGGCCGTATGGGTTGTGTATACTTGAGGTCCCTTTTCTCAATTGACATATGAAGTTGTCAAATATTTGTCAGTTCTCTTACTGGATATTACGTAATGTATATATATATATATATATATAGGCACAATGAAGAACTAACTGCAAGAGATATTTCTTTCCTTTAATCCTAAGTAAGTCTTGACTCCCCTATTGTTCTTTGATAAATCACCTTTTCTAATTTGATTAAAAGAACGATAACTATTTGTTTTGAAAGTCACTTTTTTCAAAAGACGGAAAATTATAACAGAATACGCACAAATAAAGTGAAATCATATCAATCTAATTGTGTAAAATTGATTATACAAAGAGTATATGCTCATTTTACAGATTTTGAGATGTAAAGTTGCCAATTTTTGAAGTTCAGAAATAAATGTACACGAATGTAGGGATACGCAACAGGATAATATTCTTCACAATAAATGAGGCATCTGTATAGAATCCAACAGGCGCATCAGCTAAGGCTGAAAAGAAACAAACGTTAACAAAAACAATAATATAAATATACACCAATGCACACAAATAAACGAAATGCTAATACGTAAAATCGACCACTATTTCTGCCTGTGCATAATTACAATACAGGAGCTGGATAAGCGCATTGAGTATTTTTTTTCCTGTTCAATTACATGTTTAATTTATTTGATAAAGAGTCTCCAACCATTGGTTATGATAGTCGCATGGACCACAACCAAGTAGTCTGCATCTACCAACATGGCTAAGACTAGAAGTTAGTGACTTCAAGCACTGATTCCACGTTTTGGTTTGGCCGCACCTAACTTTTTCCAACGATCTCCAACACCAGTCAGCATTGCGCGTCGTGATAATCGGTGTTCAAACATATGCAACACGTGGCCCAACCATCTCAGTCAATGAAGATTTACAACCTCACCAACTGATTTGCCATCATTTTCTAATACCCTAGGTCTAACCTCACTATTACTTATCTAGTGATCCCTGCAGATGCGAGCAATATTTCTAAGGAATCTGTGGTCAAATTCTAGTACCTGACGAGTATCTTCTAATCTTAATGGCCACGTTTTGCAGCCGTAGAGTAAAACAGAACGAACTGCACTCAAGACTGATAAACACTATACAATACATCAAAATGATATGACGCGAAAAAAAACAGTGTAAGAAATTAACTGGTGCTAATCAAAAACTGACCATAATTTACAGATTTATTTTC